CAGACAGCGAGGAAGAGAATCCCAAGCAGGCTCCTTGCTGTCAGTGCAGCTCCTGATGCGGGGCTCGAACTCACAAACCGCGAGATCATGACCTGAGCTGAAATCAGGAGTCAGATGCTTAACCAACTGAGCTACCCAGGCGCCCCTCTTTTCTTCTTTTTGAAGATTTTTTTTTTTTTTTAATTTTTAAGTTTAAGTAGTCTCTACACCCAGCGTGGGGCTCAGACTCACAAGCCTGAGATCAAGAGCCACATGCTCCACTGACTGAGCCGGCCAGGCGCTCCAGTTTTCATTTCATTTAAACACATTTTAAAAACCTATTGTACTTTGGAAAGCAGTTTGGCAGTTCGTCAAAATATTAGACATTGAGTTACCGTGACCTAGCAATTCCACTCCTCTGTATACACCAAAGAGAAATGAAAACCTATGTCCACACACAAAATTCATAATAGCCAAAGTGTGGAAGCAACACAAACGTTCATCGCTCATGAATGGATAAATAAAAATGTGGTATATCCTATCCATGTGGACTATTTTCTTTTAATTTTTTTAAAATTAACATCCAAGTCAGTTAGCATCTAGTGCGATAATGATTTCAGGAGAATCTAGTCACTGATTCATCCCCTACATATAGCACCCAGTGCTCATCCCAACAAGGGCACGTGGCACTTCTTTTTGGCAATTAAAAAGAGTGAAGTTCTGAAACATGCTGCGGTGTGGATGAACCTTAAAAATATGGTCCTAAGTGAAAGAAGCCCGTCACAGAAGACCACGTACTGTATGTTTTGATTTATATGAAGTGTCCGGAATAGGCAAACCACGGAGACAAAATCAGATTGGTGGTTTCCAGGGGCTGGGAGGAGAGGGGAATGACGTATGCTGTCTAATGGGCATGGGGTTTCTTTTTGAGGTAGTGGAAATGCTCTGAACTTAAATAATGGTGATGGTTGCACAACTCCGATTTTACTCAAAATCATTGAACTGTATATACTTTAAATGAGTGCATTTTGCAGTGTGTGAATTGTATCTCACTGAAAAAGTTGAAAAGTATTGTACACGGTACTCAAGGTATCCAGAAAGTCCTTAGCTTAAATGTTTGAGGATTTCGTAGACTCAAAAAGATAATTAAATTATAGGTCCTCTTGGTGTTCTTCATTACCTCAGGAAATTTTAGCCAGTGTCATGATTAAAAACCTGGATACTGGCGAAGAAATCCCTTTGAGTCTTGCGGAAGAGAAACTGCCAACAGGTATTAATCCCCTCACTCTGCACATCATGAGAAGAACTAAGGAATATGTAAGGTATGGGCTATTGTTATTATTTATTCATAGTATTTCGGAGTGGTGAAGATTTCTCTGTTTATGAACTCTAACAGACCCTAATGTGGTTTCATTCAATCTTCTTTTTTTTAATTTGGAATTAAAATAGAGTTAGTTGATGTATGTATTCTTCAACATTGTTCTCTCTTAAGACCATACAGTTATTTAGAGACAATAGTATATACCTTAAATCTCATAGTATTTGGTTTCTCTTATGTATTTTTTTAAATGTTGATTTATTTATTTTTGAGAGAGACAGAGCGCATGCGCCAGCAGGAGAGAGGCAGAGAGAGAAGGAGACGCAGAATCCCAAGCAGGCTTTGTGCTGTCAGTGCAGAGCCAGACACAGGGCTCGAACTCACTAACTGTGAGATCGTGACCTGAGCCAAAATCAAGTTGGATGCTTAACTGACTGAGCCACTCAGGCGCTCCTTGGTTTCTCTTTTGAAATGATGTATATAATACTAGAGACATTATTGAAACATGTTGAAGGTAAAAAGCCATGCAGAATGAACACCTGGTGTTCTGAAACCTTGCTTTAAGGGCCACAGATTTTAAAAGTAATTGTATTATCTTTGTAGGTCAGAAAATGGCTTCAGAGTAAGGGGATTGACTTTACTGTGCGATATATGTAGATCGAAGGAATAATTATTTTGAAAGCAAATCTTAATAAAGTGTAATACATGATGTGCCTGAAGAGTTAGGAGAAAGTTAATTTGTCATTTCTGTGCAGCAGGTTTTGTCCAGCAAAAAGGCTCATTGGTAGTAGGTTTTCCATAAGTTCCTAAATTGCTTTCACTTGCATTTTGTACATTATACCATGCTTAAAGATTCTATTTGATCTCTCAAGTCTAACTTCTCAGGATCATCATTTAAATGAAACTTACAAAAAGTATGTTAACATAGTCTTTTTTTTTTTTTTCTTATTCCGAGTATCTGAGTATATAGTAAGTATCCATAAGACGTTTGAGGTGATGGGGAAATGTCTTCTCTTACAATGATTTCTTCCCCTTCTTGTAGTAATGACGCAGCACAGTCAGATGATGAAGAGAAGTTGCAGTCTCAAACAACAGATACTGATGGTGGAAGGTTAAAACAGAAAACGTGAGTTACAGTGCATCCTTTTTCTTTATTCCAAGCTTTTATTTAAAATTTATGAGAATCACCATGCTTATTTATTGAGTGAGTGAGTGAGTGAGTACACGTGAGCGGGGGGAGGGACAGAGAAAGAGGGAGAGAAAGAATCCCAAGCAGACTCCTCCCTGTCAGACAGAGCAAAGCCTGACCAGGCTCGATCCCACAAACTGAGATCGTGACCTGAGCCGAAATCAAGGGTCGGACACTTAACCGACGGAGCCACCCGGGCGCCCCTGCCCTACTCCTTTCGGTCTATGTCCCATCTAGTGTATATGTCTGTCTACCACCACCACTTCCTACCCCCAGCCAATGGATGACGAATTACTTGGGGCTGTATTATTGGTCATTTCTATAGTATCTGAGAAATACTAAATGATCAATAAATTTTGCATCATGCCTGGATTATTTTTCTGACAGTAGATATGAGAAGTGTTCGTAGAGGGACATGATTGTCCTTGAAGTTGCTCTCAAATCCTATTTGTTTTTCTAAACCCAACTAACACAATTTTTCCGAACTTCTCCAGTTCATAGTAAATTTGCTTGTCTCAATTTCAGTGGCACCTACGGTCTACGTAACTTACATTTCCCCTTTATTTTATTTTAAATTGTTTTCTAATTTTAAAAAATGAGACGAATGGGGGCTAAATAACTAAATCATATGTTGCAAAAGGATTGTGATCATGCCATCCCTCTGTTTCCCTCACAAACGTCAAGACAATGGTGGACATGTAGATTTTGCTTCATTATACACCAGTCACTTATCTGACAATAATTCAGTCTATGGTCCAAAGCAAATTCTCCACTCTAGTCTGATCTTTTCCTAGTGTGGAAAGAAAGCATTGAGAATTCTTTGAAAAGATTTACCCACAGTGCAGGGATAGGATGAAAGCTCAGGTGTCTGGAACTTGGTTGTCAGCAATGGCAACTAACAGGAATAGGAAAATTAGGAATTATGAAGGAGATAGGTAAACATCCAGGAGAGCTGTCACTTACTCCATTCATTTAAGCTCATTATTTTTCTTTTTTCTTTTTTTTTTTAATTTTTAAAAAATGTTTATTTATTTGAGAGAGAAGTGCCCCAAAGCTCATTAGTTTTCCAAAAGAAAAGCTCCTTAGGTTTATTCAAAGCCACTGTACTTACTTTTTACATAATTTTTTAATATCTGGTCATCTGGTTCGTCTGAGCTCCCGGCAAAATAGAAGTAGCAAACTGTGACAGCAGGTAAGTCGACACATAAGAATGTCAGGTCATGGGGTGCCTGGGTGGCTCAGTCGGTTAAGCGTCCGACTTCAGCTCAGGTCATGATCTCACAGTTCGTGGGTTCGAGCCCGACACAGGACTCTGCGCTGACAGCTCGGAGCCTGAAGCCTGCTTCGGATTCTGTGTCTCCCTCTCTCTCTGTTCCTCCCCTGCTCGTGCTCTGCCTCTCTCTCTCTCTCTCTCTCTCTCTCTCTCATTCTCTCAAAAATAAACATTAAAAAAAAAAAAAAAAAGAATGTCAGGTCATATTTTGATTGCAAGGAGCACCTGGGTGGCTCAGTCTGTTAAATGCCTGATTTTGGCTCAGGTCACGATCTCATAGTTAGTGAGATTGAGCCCCGCATCAGGCTCTGTGCAGGCAGTGTGGAGCCTGCTTAGGATTCTCTCTCTTCCTCTCTTTCTCTCTGCCCCTTCCCTGCTTGTGCTCTCTCTCTCAAAATCAATAAACATTTCAAAAAATAAATAGAGGAAAATGGAAAATGAAAGCCTTTCATACTTTTACCCCCAGAAATCATCTGTGTTAATAATTAGGTGTATTCTCCATAGAATGTTTTCCCTCACAAAAGTGGAAATAATACTGTGTGTATGGTTTGTCGGCTTGCTTCTTTTGGCCCCCCCCCCTTTTTTTAAGTAGGCTTCATGCCCAATGTGGGGCTTGAACTCACGACCCTGAGATGCGCTACTGACTGAGCCAGCCAAGCACCCTGTTGGCTTGCTTTTTTAAAATCTCTAATATGTAATGGACATATCTTCATATCAGTACCAATAGTAAATTTATTGTATTCTTTTTATCAGCCAGATATGGGGGTTCAGTGCTGCAGACACCATCGTTAAGAAGACAATCTTAGTCTCTGCCCTCATAAAGCTTCCAGTTAAATAAGAGAAATAGATACTAAATATAATTACACAGATAAATCTAACTACATTTGTAGTAATTGCGGTAAAAGAAATGTATGGGGTACTCTGGGAGTATAAAACAGGAAAACCTGCTCTAAAGAGTCAAGGAGGGCTTTTGTGAGAAATCTCTACTTTCTACACTTTGTTAATAATGCTGTAGTGAACATCTTTGTATATGTAGCTTAGCAAGTCTTTCAGATACTGTCCTTAATATCATGAGCTCCCATGTATTGGTAAAAATTTACTCCTGTAAATTTTGCTTTGGTTTTAGATATCATTTGTGTACTGTGCTTTTTTGTTTTTTATAATCTTAATGTATGAAATTTGAGACCAAGATTATTTAAAAAGCAATAAATAAGTCCTATTTATGGAAGTGTGAGATGCATACTTGCATTACATTGTGTTTGGGAATACCTCCTGGGAAAGCTCAGCCTGACTGTATTGCTTTCAAACACCCAAACTGAAAGAGAAGAGATAAAGGGCCATCAGAGGGTACCAAACATCCTATTCTGTAAATAAATACCTCTTTATAGCTTATTTTTATTGATAAAATGTGTTTTTAAGGATTACGCTTTAAAGCTGTCTTCTCAGAGCAATTCTCATTGCAGATTCATGGCCTCACCCCAGACCCTCTAAATCAGATGATCTACAGATGGATCTCAAGTTCATGCACTTTAAACACTCTCCTCCCGCTCCCTCCCCACCAATTCATTATTCACCATTGAAAAGCCAGTGCTCTTAGAGTATGATATTGTACGTTGGGAAGAAGTGTCTGTATTTTCTTTGTAGTCATATTGGCTTCTATATATTTATTCCATAGACAAGGGATAGAGGAACTCAAAGACCTACTATTTACGTTAAAAAGAAGCTATTTCAAAATATATACTTGTCACAGCTAATGAGATTATCTGTGAATTGTTGAATTTTTACAGTTAGTTAATAAGAAATAATTTTGTTGTTTTTGTAATTTTGGTAAGGACTCAACTAAAGAAGTTCTTAGGAAAATCAGTAAAGAGAGCAAAGCACCTTGCAGAGGAATATGGTGAACGTGCTGTAAATAAAGTTAAAAGCGTTAGAGACGAAGGTAAGTGAAATAGAACATTGCAACTGAATATTTAAATGATTTGTAATTGTCCAAATTTAGCCTGTAGTTTATAAGAAACATTCTATTTTGTTGAAAGTAATAAGCCTTTATAGCTAACGCCTTAGCATTTCAGTAAGTCATGTTACTCTAGATATCTATCACTTAATTTTATGAACAGGAAGAAAAAGAAATTTGTGCATCTTAAACATGAATTTGTACATACTTTGTGGCAACCTGGAAGAGTTGTAATAATCAGTTGTAAACTAGTTATGTGAGGCTATTTAATTTTTTTTTTAATGTTTATTTACTTTTGAGACAGAGTGAAAGAGATACAGAGGCATGAGCGGGGGTGGGGCAGAGAGAGGGAGACACAGAATCCAAAGCAGGCTCCAGGCTCTGAGCTATCATCACAGCGCCCGATGCGGGGCTCGAACTCATGAACCGCGAGATAATTACCTGAGCTGAAGTCAGATGCTCAACTGACTGAGGTACCCAGGTGCCCCAAGGCTATTTAGGTTTTGTAAACATTTTCAAAATTAGGTAAATTTTCTGAATTGCACAGATCTTAACTTCCTGTGCCTTTGTTGTACTCATTTGCTTTATTTAATAAGCACTAACATAGTGGTTATTTTGTGCCAGTGTTCTAAGCATTTTCACCTATATTAACTCATTTAATCTTCATAAAAGCCCTAAGAGGTAAGTACTGTTATTACCCCCTTTTATAGATGAGAAAACCGAGGCACAAAAAGGTCCAGTGCTATAGCTGTGGTCATACAGATGATAAATGACAAAGCTGGATTTGGACCTAGACAATCTGGCACCAGATTCCATGCTCTTAACTAATATGCTATTTAGTAATAGATTTTGCTTTCCCATTTAATGAATTTTCTTAGTAAACAATGGATATGAAAATATGATAGTAGCTATATATCTATGTTAGCTAGTGATGATTTCTATATTGCTTTTCTATTCAGTGTTTCATACTGATCAAGATGATCCTTCATCGAGTGATGATGAAGGAATGCCATACACGAGACCAGTCAAATTCAAAGCAGCGCATGGTTTCAAAGGACCTTATGATTTTGATCAGATCAAAGTGGTGCAAGATCTTAGTGGTGAGCATATGGTAAGAAACGTTTATATTTTTCACGATTCTATTTTCATTGAGAGGAGTACTTTGGCTTCTATAAAGGCAATCTCTTGTTATATATGTAATTTTTCTTAACTGACTCAAGAATAAATTGATATTAACATGATTTGATGACTTCAGAGTCTCTCTCCGAATTACTGTTCAAGAAGTGAACGTTATTGAATAAGTCAACTCTAAGCTCGTATCTTTAAGAAAGCTATGTAAAGGTACCAAATTTGAAAGAGTTAAATTTACAAGGTGGTCTATCACACTTTGGAAGACATTTAAAATGTTCCCTGGGTATATTTTAAATAATTAACAAATATTTCAGTAGTTCAATGTATTTTGTAAGATGGCAGCTAAAACCAGGAGAGAGAGGTACAAGTTTTCTATCAGAGTTAAAATGTACCAATGATATTGCAGTTACCCCTTAAAAATGCTAGGAACACAGGGAAGGTGGTACTGAACTCAGAATTGGACAGATGATGCTATGGCTCCTTGATCAGGGAATCTATGTATCTATTTAGATTTTAAATCTAAAATTTGGCTTAATTGGAAGGAAGCAACCATAAACCTATCACATGGCAGCCAGATTGGAATTTAAACTTTGGTGCTTATAATCTACATATGAAATGTTTGACTTGATTATAGTCATGTCCTTAAGGAACTGATGAATTTTTTTGTACTGTTTTAATTCACTTTCATTACTTCCAGTTTTAAGTAAAATCTCATTGTAGTAGGTTCCAAGTAACAAATTTTTTTTTTTTACAAATTTTTTAATATACTTGAATTTTGTGGAAATCAGTGTTATTCCAGTAAATGAGCTGTTGCCTCTAACTTGGAAAATCTCTTTTTTTTTTTTTAAAGGGAGGAGTATCTTTTTTTTTTTTAAGTTTATTTATTATTAAGTGATCTTTATACCCAACACGGGGCTCTAACTCACGAGCCTGAGAACAAGAGTCGCATGCTCTCCCAACTGAGTCAGCCAGGCACCCCATAACTTGGATAATCTTTTTGTTCTGCATAGGTATGTGTTGTAATAGTAGACATAACAGTATTTCTTGTAATAGCGTTTGGCTTTTCCAATTTAAGGGTTTATATTCGTTAACCACCCCCCAACACACAAACACATACACACACACACCCACACTCCCCTATTGTTAGCAGTATCAGGGAATTCTAGCCATATACTCTGAAACCTTGTTTCTGGGGGGGAAAAAACAGGAATGAGACCACAGCATTCCAATACTTATAAATGCCCAGTGCCATGAGGGTCCCTGCTAAGGTGGCCCTTACATTTCCCTCAGCCTTGAGCAGGAGTGCTAGTGCTAGCCTGAGGGCTCTGCCTCGTCCGATCCCACTTCCCCCTTATGTTCAGCTAGGAGACTGAGATCCCAAACTAAGACCTGTGGTTTTTTCTTAATGTTTATTTATTTATTTCGAGAGAGAAAGAATATCCCACATGGGGTCCACGCTGAGAGCCCAGAGCCCAACATGGGGCTCGATCTTATGAACCATGAGATCATGACCTGAGCCAAAATCAAGAGTCAGACGCTTAACCGACTGAGCTACCCAGGCGTCCCAGGATTTGTTTTTACAGTGATTCGTGGCCACCTCACAACTCCATTTCCATTAATATGTGGATATGGCTTGGGGCTTTGAAGTTGTTAGTTTAGGTTATGGTAAATTACTATTTTATCCCGCCTTTCTCCTAAAAGTTCCTCTTTGTGCTGTTGTAGCATCATTGGACTATTGGCCTTAAGTGGTGTTAGTAATGTGAGCCTTACCTTAGTATGTATAATTTAGCATAATTCCTTACTTTGGCTTAAAAATAATGTTTCAGCTCTTAGGGGCATGTGGATGACTCAGTAGAGCATGCAACTTGATCTCGGGTTTGTAAGTTCAAGCCCTATGTTGGGTGTAGAGATTACTTAAAAATAAAACCTGAGGGGTGCCTGGGTGTCTCAGTCGGTTAAGTGTCCAACTCTTCGTTTTGGCTCAGGTCGTGATCTCACTGCATGAATGAGTGAGACCCATGATCAGGTCGTGGGATTGAGCCCCACATCTGGCTGTGTGCTATGTGGAGCCTGCTTGGGATTCTCTGTCTCCCTCTTCTCTCTGCCCCCCCAAAATAAATAAACTTAAAAAAAATAATAAAATCTGAAAGAAAATAACGTTTCAACTTTTAAAGTAATAACTTTGAGCCTTCCTTTCTTTTCATAGGGAGCCGTTTGGACCATGAAATTTTCTCACTGTGGCCGACTACTTGCCTCAGCTGGACAAGACAATGTAGTGAGAATATGGGCCTTAAAAAATGCTTTTGACTATTTCAACAATATGCGAATGAAATACAATACTGAAGGTATTTTTCACTTATTTGTGGGCTTTAAAACTCTAGAGACATCTGGTATTTTTACATTTTAGGTATAATGCTCTTTTATCTGGCAACCATTTGCAGCAATCACTACTTTTCATAATAGCCACAAACCCAAAAGTAGACAGAAGTCAACACCAAAAAAATCATCTAAATCCCCTGAAAAACGCTACCACAAAGTTTTTGACTTGATCCCTTTTGAGGTGTAGCGCAGGGTTTATTTCATCAACCATTGGGAACAAGGTTACTTGGTGTCCCCTGGCAACCTTTAGTTCTATCCTGGATTAAAATGAAAGACCTGATAACTCTAGAAAAAGAATGAGAATAATAATATCCATCCAATAATAAAGATAAAGGAGACATAGCCATGAAAAGTAAATGTGATTTGTCGTACATCGAAGGGTATATGAAAAAAGGTTAAATGGAAAAGAGAAACCTCAGAGAGTGATGTATGTACACAATGATTACAACTGTGAAATCTTTCTGTATATTGGTAACTTACCAGGAACGTATGTAGAATCGATGTAAATAGAAGCTTTATGTTTATGGGATTCTTTTCTCATAATTACATAACTCCAATACATTTTCTCCACAAACCTGTCCCTTCCCCAGTCAACTAAGGCTAAAACAAGAAATTAAGGGATGGGAGAAAGGAGAATCAGTGGCCATGGGCTGGAGTATAGAGTATACTTGAAGCACCAATTTGAGGAACATAGAAACCCAGGGAGATCCACTAAACTGGCAAACGAGGCCCTGTACACTTTCGTAGCCCTGTGGGTATTGCTTGCATTATGTTATGATACATAATTGAAGATGATAACGGGTTGGCAAAAAGTTGAACTATGTTTACGATACATTTCTTTTATTGCCCTGCCTGGAACAGAAAGACTAAGTGGCCCTCGAGACTTCTACTAACCTAGACCCTTTGTGCCCCTTTATTGTTCATCTTTGTATTCACTACGAATAATGAGGATTTAACAGTATTTTATTAAATTGGGAATATGGCTTATAAAGATTTTTTTATTAAAAGTGATAAAAACAATATTTTGGTGTCTAACGAGTCAACGCTTCATTTATTTTGAAAATGTATTTTCTCAGAGCACCTGGCTGGCTCAGTCAGTAGAGCCTGCAACTCTTGATCTCACGGTCGAGAGTTCGAGCCCCACATTAGGCATGGAGCCTATTTTTAAAAAATGTGTTTTTTCAGAATGTTACATTCTACAACTATTAATTAGGTGTTACTATGTCATTATTTCTGATTGACGTTTTGTGTGTGTGTGTGTGTGTGTGTGTGTGTGTGTGTGTGTGTGTATACATATGCCTTTTTATAATTATGTTGTTTTTAGGACGTGTGTCTCCATCACCTTCTCAGGAAAGTCTGAATTCATCAAAGTCTGATACAGATACAGGGGTATGTTCTTTATTTAATAGTTACTAATATAATTTGATTTGTTTCCCATGAAGTACCTTATCGTCTATTAGAAATTGTAGTTCATAAAAGCACTTAATTTAAAATTAAGATATGTTAGAAACAAAAGTTTTTTCTATTAGAATTAGTAAATGAAAATTTGTGATATTTAAAAGTTGTCATACAGTGAATGATACTACTCAAGCTACCAAACTACCAATGTTAACTTAAATAAAACAAAATCCCCTCCCCTCAAATCCATGTTAGAATTAAAAAAAATAATGGATACTGAGTAAGGGGTGATTAAGGAAAGAAAAAAAGATACTAAACTATTTAGATTTTTTTCTACCTTTTTGGTTTAATAAATGCTTTATCACACTTTCAGGTACTTTAAAATATCTTGATTTTCATTTGGTCTCAGAGCTGGAAGGTCAAATATAACCAATTTTAAACCTAAAAAGCAGAATGGAAGGATTATTATTCTGAGCTCTTCCCTGTGCTTCGTGTGTATTGATCTACACAGGAATGATACAAACAAAGAACCTAAAATGTCCACCTGCTCAGCAGTATTTTCCTGGGGTCTCATTGGCTCTGTAGTGTTTGACACTATTCCCCACTCTAAACTTACTCTTCTCAGCTTTCTATGGTTCTGTTTTCCCTCGTTCTCTTCCTATATGCATGCTGTCTCTTCCTCTTCCTCCCACTTAAATGTTGCAGTTTCTCAGGGTTGTGTCCTTGGCCATCCTCATTTGACATATTCATTCACTGCCTCCAGTCCTGAACTGGCTTTACCTTCATAATTCCTGTTTCCTTTTCATAGCTGTATGGTTTTTAAACAAGGATGGGATCTTATTGGGCATGCCGCCCTTTTCACATAACAATATATAGAGAATCTTGGGGCGCCTTGGTGGCTCGGTCGGTTAAGCGTCCGACTTCAGCTCAGGTCATGATCTCACGTTGTGAGTTCAAGCCCTGCATCAGGCTCTGTGCTGACAGCTCAGAGCCTGGAGCCTGCTTGGGATTCTGTGTCTCCCTCTCTCTCTGTTCCTCCCCTGCTCGCGCTCTGTCTCTGTCTCAAAAATAAAGATTAAAAAAAAAAACCACAATATATAGAGAATCTCTCCATCAGCATATTCACCACGCACATCAATGAATAGGTCACAAACTGAAGTCCCTCAACAAATGTTCTTTGACTGCTTGTTACGTGTGCCAGATACTGCTAGATTCTGCAAATCCAGTGAGACCTAGTCTTTGGCCTCAAGGGCCATGCCGACTAGTGAAATAGCATATACCCACAGTTCTAGTATTGGATGGGAATACTCTTCAGAGGGTACTACACAAGTATAGGAGGTATCCTTATGAATCAGCGCGTGAGGAAAAGCTTTCTGGAGGCTTTGTGAGTGAGCCAGGAGTTAACTGTGTGAGAGAAGGAAGGAAGGGGTTCATCAGAGCAAATAGCGAGTGCCAAGGCCTGGAGGCCACAACAGCATGGCACGTGAACGGTGCTACCACAATTCCAAGCGGCTACAGCAGAGTGGGCCTGTGTGAGAGTTGGAGGAGAGGCGGGCAGGGTTAGGATTTTACATGACCTTTTGTGTGTTAAGACATTTGGACTTTGTCCTGCAGGCTGCTGGGGGAACAGGGGTTTGAAGGATTTCGATCAGGAGCTTAATTAAAATGTTCAGATTTTTGCGGCACCTGGGTGGCTCGGTCAGTTAAGCATCTGACTTCGGCTCAGGTCAAGATCTCACAACTCATGAGTTCAAGCCCCACATCGGGCTCTGTGCCGACAGCTCAGAACCTGGAGCCTGCTTCACATTCCGTGTCTCCCCTCTCTCTGCCCCTACCCCGTGCTCGCTCGCTCGCTCTCTGTCTCTCAAAAATAAACACTGAAAATTTTTTTTTTAATGTTCAGATTTTTGTTTCAGAAAGAGCATTCTGGTAGCGCTGGAAAGGATTGATTAGATCGGGGCTCCAGGCCAGAGACAGGGAGACCACCTAAGAGGTTACCAACCCAGGAGAGAAACAGTACTTCGATTATGAAGCAGTGGGTCTAGAAACCGTAAAGATGAGCTGAATTTGAGAGATGTGAAAGAAGTCGGACCTCTGGCACTAGGTGACCGACTAGGTGGGGAGGCAGATGGTAGCCGAGGATGAGTGTCAGCTGTCTGGATTGGATAACTGGCTAGGTGTTGAATGGTCACTTATGGAAATATTTGTATTACCTACCCACAACCCTGCCTCTCTCTTTTGAGCCGCCTTTTTTTTTTTTTTTCAGTTTTTCATCTTTTTTTTTTCTTTTTAAGTTTATTTATTTTTGAGAGAGAGAGAGCAAGCAGGGTAGGGACAGAGAGAAAGAATCCCAAGCAGGCTCTGCACTGTCAGCACTGAGCCCAACATGGGGCTCGAACCCACGAACTGTGAGATCATGACCTGAGTCAAAATCAGACAGTTAACCAACTGAGCCACGCAGGTGCCCTTTGTGAGCCTTCTTTAATGGCATTACCATCCATAAGTTCCTTTTCTAACTCAGTCAGAAAATACTCCATTACTTATTTTTTTCCTTACCCACATATGAAATTAGTTATAAATTTCTATCCACTCTTCCTCCACCTACAAATGCCCATGGAATCCGTCCCCTCGTTCCCCGTTGTCACTCACGTTATCTAGGTCCTGAATACCCATTTAAATGTTTGCTGTAGCCTCCTAATTGCTTTTCTGGTCTGTACCCAGTTCATTTTCTCTGCTGTCCCCAGCTTTTTGTCAAAATAATAGATCTGATGCCATTTTGTGGTTTAAAATCTTCCGGTGGCTCCTTGTCACCTGCAGGATAAGGTCCTTCCTGATCTTGCCTCATCTTACCTTTTTTTTTTTTTTTAATTTTTTTTTCAACGTTTTTTATTTATTTTTGGGACAGAGAGAGACAGAGCATGAACGGGGGAGGGGCAGAGAGAGAGGGAGACACAGAATCGGAAACAGGCTCCAGGCTCCGAGCCATCAGCCCAGAGCCCGACGCGGGGCTCGAACCCACGGACCGCGAGATCGTGACCTGACTGAAGTCGGACGCTTAACCGACTGCGCCACCCAGGCGCCCCTCATCTTACCTTTTTAACTCCGCTCTAATTCCCTGGTGCCTATGTATCCTACTTGCCATACCGAACGTAGGTCTGTCCTTACCCTACGGTATCTGTCACTCCCGTGCCTTCGTCTTTGGTGTCTGCTTTGCCGGCAGCGCCCTCCCTGTCCCCTTTCCTCATGGGGCTGAGCCCGGCTCATCCTTCGGGATTCAGTTCACACACACACAAGGATTCAGTTCAAATCTCTTATCTTCTTCTCTTATTATCTTCCTTGAATCAAGCAGGCAAAATTGTCCCTGATTTGTGTTCTGACAGAACATTACAGGTCCTTTGACACTGTTATTACTTACCAGTTTGTCTCACTGGTTAGACTCTAGGCTGATTTAAGGCAAAAAAGTGTACTTCCCAGATTTTATTGTCCTTGGAACCTGACCTGGTGCCTTACTGTGGTGGGCCCGAATCGGTGTTGCATTCCTGCTTCTGTGCTTCGTTCCTGTCCTCCTTTATCTGGATGCCTGCGGTGCTCCCTTCTTTCTATTCAAAGCTTGCCCAGTCTTCAAGGCCTACTTCCTTCATGAAGCTTTCCCTGACTAATGTAGCGGTACAAATTTTAACCACTTTGCTTTAGGGAAAAGGGTTTGCTTTTATTAGTTTAATTCCCCATAAGGTTTCCAGACATCGACGACCACTAAAAACGGGAACTATTTGCACCATCTTGTGTTATGCTTATTTCAACAACCCTACCGACAGACTTCCTTAACTATGTCCATCCACCGCACCCCATCCCCCAAAAGACCTAAGTAACTCCCAATCTTGTTTGAAAACAGTCCTTTTAAATAAGGAGTGTAGTATTTCTTTGACACCAAAGTAGTGACCCCTGGAGTACTGTGCTTTTTTCCTGTGGTAGTGGAGTAGCATTTGTATCTGTTGTCTTCAGGAAAAGATTGGTGCTACTTCACTTTGGTCATTCTATTTGGAGACCGTTAGAAGGATCCTCTACTTCACATGCCTTTGGAGTGTGTTATCTGCTATTATCTTTGAACGTAGCGTTAGCTGCAGTGAGGGGCAGTATCCACGGCGTAGCTTATTCATTTATTTATTTTCCTGATGTGTGTGTTCTTTCCTCTTTTCTCATGATAGTGATATATTTATTTTTCCACCTGCATCCTCATTTTCGTTAGCATTCATGTAAAATAGAATACCTAAAAGTACCTATTGTACAGTTGGGCATACAGACCAGCACACCCAAGATCACGGACCTGCTCATTGGTCATGCCATGCCTAGAATTCTGCCTCTTATGCTCTCCATTCCTGTTGGTTTTCAAAAGTAGCTCAGTTGCAGTAAGGAAGAAAGGAAGAAGGCATGCCTCGTTTGCTCCATTATGCTAGAGATTTTGTACAATTTCTCCTTGACACTAGGTGTTGTAACTATGCAGTTTACCTAGAAATTGGTGCTTTTCTTGGGTTAAATCTATGTTTGGTGTGCTTGATTAGTGGAACATTAGTATGGGTGTTCTAGCATTTAACTGCTGCTTTGAATTTTTCAGAGATTGTAGGGGAGGAAAAAATTCGCTCTACTCTCTGAGGTTCTGCAGCCAGGATTTTGCAGCTAGGATCCGTGAATAACCTGACAAAAGACAGATTCGTAGGAGAAACAGTTTATTATACATGCATATGGAGGCCCTCATAGAAGAATAGTGAATACCTAAAGAAGCAATTAGACCCAGGGGCTCATATATCATTTTGACAAAAGCAGTAAGTTTGTGGAGAAGTGACAACACAAAGGAGGTGAGGGGTTGGGCTTTAGGTATAGTAAATTGTGACCAAGTAAAAATCTTGGGGGAAACTAATGGAAGATGAAGATTATTTAGTACTGTCTCCAGAGGTAAGCTTTATTCTCCCATTCCTGGCAAAGAAGAGGTGAAG